ACTCTGGAGAGAGTCAGGAGTTTTCATTATTATCTTTTAGCATTCAGTAAATATCCTTTCTGTATTCTTTAGTATAGTTTAGTTTAGTATTTTTTAATATATTATAGTAACATAAAATAATAAATTAGCCTCTGAGAACACGGAGTCAGATTCATCATTCCTGCCTTTGTTGGGGGTCCCAGCAAATCCAATAGAAGGGGACAAACGCTGTCCCATGGGCAGGCTGCATTCCCAGTATTGTATTATGGGGTGCCCTGTGGCAGGAAGGAATGATGGATCTGACTCCATGTTCTCAGAAGGCTAATTCATTATTTTATTATACTATATTATATTAAAGAATGCTCTACTAAAACGATACTAAAGAATACAGAAAGGATACAGACAGAATGCTGAAAAGATAATAATGAAAACTCCTGACTCTCTCCAGAGTCCTGATACAGCTTGGCCCTGATTGGCCAAAGAGTGAAAACAACTCACACTAGAATCCAATGAAACAATCACCTGTGGGTAAACAATCTCCAAACACATTCCACATGTGAGCACAACACAGGAGAAGCAAATGAGATCAGAATTGTTTTCCTTTTTCTCTGAGGCTTCTCAGCTTCCCAGGAGAAAAATCCTGGGCGAAGGCATTTTTTAGAAAATGTGAATGCCACATTCCCAGCTCCTGTCTGTTATTTCAGCCTCCCTCTTGCAGGCACAGAGATGCCAGGCCCACTTCTAATTCAGGGAACTGAGGAAGGGAAATGTGAGTGGCTCCTCTCGGAGGAAACACCACCAAAGGCTTCTCAGCTATCCCGGGAACGGCCTCGGCCACCCGGCCCAGCCCCAGCCCGGTGAGGTTCCTGCCTCTCCTGCCCTGCTTGGGTTACTCCAACCTGGGAGTGGCTGCCAAATATCTGCTGGGGAATCCATGCAGGACCGGCAGTGAGGGATGAGAGAGATGAGCTCACGGGTATTTTCCTTGCCTCTCACCCTCCTGTGAGTCAGTCGCCCCGCTGAGCTGGAGTGGCTGCCCTGGAGAGGCAGAGAAACCTCCATGGGCAAAATCCCCTGCTCTCCAATGGATGTTTTGGATGGTGGGTGGAAGCTGGTGTTGCACTGCAGAGAAAAACACCTGGAGCAAAGCTTTAGGGAGGGAAGGGGGTCGAGATCTCTCACTGCTCAGAGTGACCTCAAGAAAAGTTGGAAAGTCTCTTTTCCCAGCCTGGCGGTCGAAGAAGGAGTCAGAGCTCTTCATTTCTCAGTCTCAAGGTTGTTTATTGTGTCTTATCTATAAAAAATTTTCTCCTGCCCTGCCAAGGTCCATCCAGCAGGACAGACAGAGGCACTCTGCCTGCCCCCAGGGCAATGTTATGTCTTTATACTAAAAACTACCTGTACAATGTTTACAAGTCCTTTCCAATACCTATCACCTATGTTAGACACTGAGCTTCTACTCTAAACCAATCCAAAAGTGCCACCATCACAGCAGGAGATGGAGACCAAGAAGAAGAAGGAGAAAGGCTGGACACGCCCAGATTCCTCCATCTTGCCTCCTGAACCCCCATACCAGAAACCCTAAAATCGACTCTTCCACCCCATGATAACTTCACTGTTATTCTATCTAAATTGTTGTGGCTTGCTGATCTTCATCTAAGGTTGGTAACTTGCTCCATGGGTCATAATCAAAACCACAGGGGTTTTTGGGCTCTGTGCCAGGGTCCCTGAGACCCCTGGCAGGGCTCTGGGCTGCTCAGGACAGCCAGAGGGATGTCCTGGCTCCTGACAGAAGAGAAGCCCTGGAGAAATGATGAGCTGGGATTCCTGCAAAAAACACAGAGGTGGGAGCAAGGGCTCCTCTGGGATGGGGAAACCTCAGGCAGGCTCTGCTCCAGAGCTGAGTCATGGAGCAGGAAAACTTGAAATCACCCTCCAGATCCCCCTGGGAAGAGCCTGCTGGGGTGGACACAGCAGTGCTGGCTGAGACCCTGGGAGCTGAGCTGCTGTGGGATGGTGTCACCCACAGGACAGGGACACAGGGAATGGGACATTGGGACCCTTTGCAGGATGCCACACTTGGGCCCTCACAGGTCACTCCCACAACTGCTTTGCCTGCAGGAGCACATTCCAAAAGCACAACGGTGGGGTTGTGGTCATTTAAAAAGTCTCTACAAATCCATTTCCCACAGGGTTGGGGTCAGGGTGAGGACACAGGGTTTGTACTGCTGCCACACCAGAGGTGACAACAACTCTGGGCTCCTTGTCCAGCATTATCCTTGCACCTGGCATTATCTTTTGCTCCCAAAGAAAACAACTATGACCATTTGGAATTACACCACCAAACTCCTTGGGTGCTTCCCCCTGGCTCTGCTGTGTCCCTTCCCTCCCGGAGAGAAAAATTCCCTTTTCCAGAGCCGTGGCACTGCTCCTATGTGGCACTGCCCTCTGCTGTCGGTGGCTGCGGGGACAGCGCCCGAGGCCACTGCTCTGAGCAGAAACACCGGGATTTATGTCACCTGGAGGACCTGGAAGCCACCAAGCTGTCCCAGGAAGACGCTGCATGCGTGGTCCCCGGGCATGACAAGCAGCAAAGTCCTGGAGGAGCCACTGCCTGCTTGGGCTTCCCTTTTTTCCCTGGCTGGAAGCAGAAGTGGGGACTATTTTTGGTGCTGCCTCGCTTTGGAAAGAGTCACACACACAGCCAGGGCATCACCCCGGGTCTGGCAGAGAAAATGAGTAACAGCAAGGGGCTCACTGCCTTTCCGTGACCCACAGCTCAACCAGGGGCTGCCTGGAGCAGCTGGAGTTTCCTTCCACGTGCTGGGATCACCAGCTTCTTGGGGATGTGCGTGGAAAATGACTCTTAAACTGCTTTTTCCACCAGAGAAACGCTCAGGAAAAGCCTCCCAGTGATAACATTGCTTGTCCTGGCCTCCACCTACAACCCTGCCTTGCCTTTTCCCAAGCTGGAAGAGCTCGGGTGGCAGGATAAGGACACTCAGCATGACCCTGGCACTGGTCCTATCTCCCAAATTCTCCTCCAGGAAAGGCCTCTAGATGGGGCTTTAATGAAATATTGCTCTGCCCTCTGCCAGATTGTGATGGCCCCATGGGGCTTCTGACCCCCAGAACCCACAGGGGGCTGACTCGGTGCCACTTCCCTGGGAGAAGGAAGCTGAGATATTCCCAGATAATGGTGAATCACATGGATTTGAGGAAGCTGGAGTGGATGGGGCACCCACCCCGAGCAAGTTTCAGCCCCCACCCCAAGGGGTGCTGATGCAGAGCCACAGTGGGAGCCGCCACATCCCATGCACGGGTGGATGTGGGAAGCTTTGAACCATGCTTTTCCACAAGGACACTTTTGTTTTGCCAAAAATGTGGTCAGGGACTGGGCTGAGATGTTTTAAACATTAAAAAATTTAAAAAAAAAATCTTTCTCCTTCTCACCCCAAAAATAAGCAGAATCCACACAGTTTGCACAAGGCTGGGAAGGCTGCAAATGCTCAGGGTGAGAATAAATTTATTGAGCTGCCAGTGAATTTTGTGCCACTCCAGGAGCTATTCCAGGACAGAAGGTTCATCCCCATGAACTGTCCCCCTGTGTGGCTCCTGAACCCGTCTGTCCACACAATCTGGGGGTCAGAAACACCAATGACCCCATTCTGAGCACCTTGCTGCTCATCATGCACCAAATGTCACCTGCTGGGCACAGCTCTGTGGGGCTGAGCTTAAACCCCCGGGCATGGTGGCTTTGGAGATGAGAGCCCAGGGCCAAGTGTCCTTCTGGCTCTGTCCCCACGGGGACACGGGCTGGCTCAGCAGTGTGACACACACACATGCTCAGGAGGGGAACCTTCCCGTCCTCGGGCGCTGGAATTACCTCCAGGATGACGATGACAGTGACATCGACAGACCTGGAAAAACGCTGCCGGCCAAAAGGGTGACATTCAGGGCATTAACTGCTTCCTCCCCGGGCTGCTCGGTGTCCCTGCACTGCTCACAGCGCTGTGGGTGTGCACACGAGTGTGCAACGCCGGTGCCTTCCCACATCCAACCTCTGCACGGCTGCCCAGATGTGCCGAACCCCCCCCCTTGCCCAGCTGGCACACCCAGCCCTTTCACGATTGCTGCATTCTTGCACAGCTGCCCAGATGTGGCACACCCATCCCTTGCACATCTGCACTGATCCTTGCACCGCCACCCAGCCCTGTCACCTGCAACACCCACGCCTTGCACACCCGGCCCTGCCGCCCGTGCCATGCCCAGATGCCAATGCCTTGCACACCTGCCCAGATGTGCCAAACCTCGCCCTTGCCCAGCTGCCCACCCCTGGCACACCCAGCCCTTTCAGGACTGCTCCATTCTTGCACAGCTGCCCAGATCTGCCATACCTCCCTCTTGCCCAGCTGGCACACCCAGCCCTTTCACGACTGTTTGATTCTTGCACAGCTGCCCAGATGTGCCAAACCTCGCCCTTGCCCAGCTGCCCACCCCTGGCACACCCAGCCCTTTCAGGACTGCTCCATTCTTGCACAGCTGCCCAGATGTGCCAAACCTCCCCCTTGAACGACTTCCCCGATCCTCGCACGGCCACCCAGCCCTGTCACCTGCAACACCCACGCCTTGCACACCTGGCCCTGCCGCCCGTGCCATGCCCAAATGCCAATCCCTTGCACACCCACCCTGGCACACTCATCCCTCTCTCCCCTGCCCATCTCTCTCCCCTCCTGCCCTCTCCTCTTCCCCACCGTGTCCCGCGCTCCCCTCTCCCCGCTCCGCTGGCGCTCCCCGCTCTCTCCCCGCCCCGCCGCTCCGTGTCCCTCCTCCCGGGGCGTGTCCCCCTGTCCCAGCCCGCCTCTCCTCCGTGTCCCTCCCCCCCCGCCGGCCCCTCCCCGGCCCTCCCCGCCGCCGCTCGGGCTCTCTCCGCCGGCCGCGCTATAAGAAGCGGGGCGGGCGGCGGGGCCGCAGCGGGCGCGGCGGGGGAACGAGATGAGCAGCGCCGGCGCCGCTGCAAGATGCTGGATGGACACGTCCTGCTGGGATGGCTCTCCTCCTGCGCGCTCCTAGGGCTGCTCGCCTGCGCCCCGCGGCCCTCCGCCGCCTACTTCGGGTAGGTGCCTCCTCGCTCCTGCTCTTTAACTTTTGCCCGAGTTTGTTTTTTTGGATGCTGAAGGGGTTTTGCGCTTTGCGCGGTCCCGCCCGAGGTGGGGATGCTGCTGTTCTCCTGCGGGCACCCTCGGGGGTGCGGGCATCCCCTCCTGCAGTGACAGCCGGCCCGGGACAGGGGCAGCGACAGCGCCGTGCCCGCGGCTGTCCCGCGTCCTAGCGCCCGGAATCCCCTTGGATTTGCCAGGCGGGACCGGGCGCTCCGGGAGCTGCCGGGCTGAGTCCCGGGGCTGCGGGCAGGAGCTGCCGGCGGCGAGCGAGCGCTTCGTTCCCCCGTTCCCCGCACGGAGCGGACCAGCAGCGCGGTTGTAACCCCCGTAGCGTGGGACAGCGCGGAGAAAACTCCTTTTTCCCCGCTATTAAAGCGTGGCTTTCAACACCAGTTGCCAGCCGTGGGGTGCTGCCCGTTGGTTTTTGGGGGGATCCGCGGGTGCGGGCGCCGCATCCCCAGCGCTCACCTGTGCGCGGGGCGGGGCGCGGCCGGCAGGGGGCGCTCCCGGCCCGGCGCGCGTCGCGCAGGTGGATCCCGATCCTTTCCCTTCCCGACCCCCGATCCCGGGGATTTATCCCACTTATACCGAGGTTTTATCCCACTTCTACCGAGGTTTTATCCCCCTCTTTTTATCCCTTTTATTCCCCTGTCCCGGCTCCGTGCGGTGAGCTGGACCAGCCAATTCAACCCGCTGCCCGATCCCCTTCAACGCCCCCCGCAGCCGCGTCAGCTCCGTGCGGGTTTTCCCTCTGTGCTTTTTGGGGTGTCGCTGCCTCTTATCCTTAATTTTAAACCGTTTGTCGCAAAATGTTGTCGGTTTGAGAGAGGAATTTGGCGCGACCACCTGTGTAAGAGGTTTTTTGTGTAAGTTTACACGACAGTGGGGATTCTTGCTTCTTTTTTTTTTTCCCTTTTTTTGGGGATGTTGCGTTGTGACCACTGGTAGGAGCCACTGGACCAGCCCTGGAGAATGTTTTAGCAGGCTTGAGGTTTTCCCCCCTTCTTTCCAGTAAAACAAATCCTGGTGTTGAGGCTTGTCCATTGCTTGTGGTCTGGCAAAGTTTTCCAAACAGTGCTACTTACATCTTCTGTTTCCAACTCCAGAACCGTTTCACTTCCTGCTGCTGGGGCTGGTTTTCTAAGGAAACAGCCTGTCCTGTGTGTGCAGGTTTTTAGGAAAAGCCCTTTTCTCCCTGGGCAGTGTGCAGAGGGCTGTTCCCAGCCCGCTGGCTCATGTGTCTGCCCGGGACCACCGGCACTGTGCAGCTCAATTGTGCCTTGGGGACTGACAGGCTTTGCAAGGAGCTTGGCTGTAACTCTCCTATTAATCCTTGCTGTGCTGCTATCTGCTCTAGAGCAGCAGGTAACTCATTCCAGTTCCTTCTGGGATTTCTCTCTTGGCTTGGAGAGGTTTTAGCTTTAGGAGGGACATTCTGAGCCAAGGGCAGTGTCTGCTGTCTGTCCCCACTGCTTTGGGGTTTTCTGTGTCTTGGTACAGCTGCTGTTTTTGGTTTGAGACTCTCTCCCTGGCAGTGAGGAGATGCTGCCAGATGTGCACTCCTGGGCTGCTGTGCAGTGGAGTTTGCTTATGCAAAGCCTCCTTGTCTCTGGTTAAAGCCCCAGTGAAGGAGCAGCTGATCCCCTCTTTGTTCTTCCAAGAGCAGAGGTTGCACTTGCAGAGCTGCTGGGGCCACTGGGAATAGTCAGTGCTGAGATCCCAGCTCCTGATAATCCACAAGCGTGTGGGGAAGAGCTGAGCCCTCCTCGCTGTGGGTTTCTCTCTGTTGGTAAGGAAAGAAATCCCACCTGGTAAAAAAGCTGGATGTTCCTGCAGAACTCCCCAGTTCTCCCTGCCAGTCCCTGGAAAGGCTGGTATTGATCTTCTTTTTCTTCTGCCACGTGCATGAAGGAGCTGCTCCAGGTGAGGCAGCACATCAGTTCATTCTGAGAAATCCTTGCTAACAGCTTGGCTGAATGACCTGAGCTAAACCACACCTTCCAGGCAGGGAAAGGGATGCTTCTTTTGAGTCCCAAAGCCACCTTTTGGTGGCCTGCTGGCCTCTCTGGGTGCTGGCATCCCTGCAGAGGAGGTGGTGGGGCACAGAGCGAGGCAGTGCTCAGCAGATGTCACGCTGTGGCTGCAGCTTGGCTGCTCCCTTCCTCAGCCTGGAGGGGGATAGAGACAGCTGTGGATGATCCCTTCCCCCCCAGCCCCAATGTCTTATTTCAGGGAAAGAATTCCACGTCTCCAAATGCGTGGCCTGGTGGGGAATGAGTGCCCAGGGACAGAAACAGGGCATGGTTACAGGGTAATGAGATTGTGTCAGCATGGAGTTATGTCTGTGCCTGTCCCAGGGGGTGGCAGGAGGGGATGCTGGGCTGGGGACACCACGGCTGGAGGCTGCTGTGCTTCCTTGGAACGCTGCCTCTGGTGTTCTTGGAGGGATGCACAAGTGGCTGAGTAGGATAAATGCCCTCTGGAAGCAGAGTTTGGGGTGTGTGGGAGTTAAAGCTGTGGTGCAGGTGGGGCTCTTGCTGCTGTTCTGCTCCATCCCCAGGCTGCCTGGCTGGGAAATGTGATGGTCTGTGGAGGGAGAGAGAGATTTTCCCTTTTTCTGAGGGGAATTCTTGCAGCTGGGTGTTGCTGCCCTCCTCCTGGAGCAGGTGCCAGCAGGACCCGGGGTTCCTGCCCAGGGCAGCACCTGCAGTGATGCTGAGCAGAGCTGAGAGCCTGCAGGCACCTGCTCAGGAGGGGTTTTGAGGGATTTGGCTCAGCCCTAACTCCTGGGAAGCAGCTGGAGAGCCTGGCTGCAGGCATCAGGGATGTGCTGATGCTACAGCTCCCAAACCTTGGCTGATAAGAAACTTTTTGACAGAGAGGAAAAAAGCATTTCTGTAAAACTGAGCACAGCCCTGCTGGCTCTTTGTGCATTTAGAGCTGCCCCTCAGGAGGATGGTGATGATGATGGGGGTGGCTGAGTTTTGTGGGATTTTGAATTTTTTGGGGGGAGGCATTGCCTGGGGCTCGGTGTCAGCCTGCTGGGATGCACTGGCTGCCCCAGGAGTGAGGCTGCTTTTGTGTCCAGCCACGGCCTCTGCAGCTGGGCTGTCTGAGCACTAATTTGCACCATATTCCATTTGCAGGCTGCTGGGGGGAGTCTGGAGCAGCCCCAGGCTGCCAGGATCCCTGAGAAAGCATTGCATTTCAGTTTTCCTCCCTGCTCTGCTTTCCCGGTGCCTGACACGCTCTGGGCGTGGGTACCTCCCCTCCCTCCCTCCCTTTCCTCTCTCCAGTGTGGCCGGGGGTGGTGGAAATGCCAGAGCAGCATCTGGGAATTGTGTTGGGACTTGCACTTCTGGGCTTTGGAAGTGGCAGGTGACAAGATTAGCCATGCTGGGGTGACAGGGTGGCTGAGGAACTTCAATCCTGCTGTGCCCTGTGCTGGTGGGAAGGGAAACCAACCCGTGGGAGCTTCTGCTTTCCTGATCTGTGGGTCTGGGGTGACCCAGGCCATAAACCAATTCCTTCTATTTTCTGTTCTGATTTAGAGTCTGATTCAGTTTTGATGCATCTCTTTTTTTTAAAAAAAAAAATATTTTTTTAATTCTTGCTGGAAGGAATATTTTTGCTGCTGGTTGGGATTTGCTCTGCTTTCCCTCTGGGAGCAGAAGGATCCCAGCAGCTCTGCCCCCTCTGCAAACACTTGTCAAGACAGTAGTAATGTTACAAGTGGCTCATGCTTACATAGTGTTTATATTGACAGATTGCAATGTTCTGCATAAATGTAACTGATCTGTCCCCTGCACGCAGGCAACAGGAACCCTCAAATGCTCACGGGGGGAGAGGGAGGGGAAGCATAGCTTGCCCTAATTTACCAACACACCACTCACTGCGGGCTTTGCAGTGTGGGAAGTGCTGTGTATTTTTATTCCCTTTGGCAGGTGCAGGATAGGTGCTCTGCTCTGGGATAGAAACCTTGCTGTTCAGGGTGTGATTTTATTTTTTTTAGGAGAGACTTAGAAAAGAGCAGGATGTTGGACTTGAAGGGGCTGTTCAGACACCTTCAGGGTTCCTGAGTGGGGCATGAAGTCACCACGAGTTCCAGCGTCAGCTGTAGGATAGAAACCTCATCCTTCAGCGTGTGATTTTGTTAGGAGAGACTTAGAGCAGGATGTTGGACTTGAAGGGGCTGTTCAGGGTGTGATTTTGTTAGGAGGGACTTAGAAAAGAGGAGGATGTTGGATTTGAAGGGGCTGTTCATGTGCTGTGAGTGCTCTGGGGCGTGTTCCTGAGTGGGGCATGAAGTCACCACGAGTTCCAGTGTCAGCTGTAGGATAGAAACCTCATCCTTCAGGGCGTGATTTTGTTAGAAGAGACTTAGGAAAGAGCAGGATGTTAGACTTGAAGGGGCTGTTCATGTGCTGTGAGCACTCGGGTGGGTTCCTGAGCCGGGCATGAAGTCACCATGAGTTCCAGTGTCAGCTGTAGGACAGAAACCTCATCCTTCAGGGTATGATTTTGTTAGGAGAGGCTTGGAAAAGAGGGGGATGTTGGACTTGTAGGGCTGTTCAGGTGCCGTGAGCACTCTGGAGCAGGTTCCTGAGCAGGGCGTGAAGTCACCGTGAGTTCCAGCGTCAGTTACAGCTCTGCTGTAGGAGAGAAACCTCTCTCATCCTTCAGGGTGTGATTTTGTGAAGAGAGAGTTAGAAAAAAGCAGGATGTTGGACTTGAAGGGGCTGTTCAGGGTGTGATTTTGTTAGGAGAGACTTGGAAAAGAGGAGGATGTTGGACTTGAAGGGGCTGTTCAGGTGCCTTCAGGGTTCCTGAGTGGGGCATGAAATCACCGTGAGTTCCAGTGTCCGCTGTAGGATAGAAACCTCGTCCTTCAGGGTGTGATTTTGTTAGAAGAGACTTAGAGCAGGATGTTGGACTTGAAGGGGCTGTTCAGGGT